AAAAAAGAAAAGAAAAAAGAAAAACAGAACACTTACGAGGAATTTCTAACCATGTTCTAAAATAGAAACGTGCTTATGCGACGAAGAGAACACTTCAATGCAAACGGCTCAGGACAAGAAAATCCATCATTGGTTGCTTTAAGGATATCTTTGCACATCTTTGTTATTCTTACTTCTTTTATTCAATCGTTTTTTTTTTAATCATACAACTGAGCAGTCGTGTAAGTCGAACAATTCAGAAGATTCCACCCTTCTCTTGATATACTTGACGTGCTAATAGATTCTTACATCTCAACACAACTGGAATTTAACGAATACACTCGCATACCCCCAACAATCAAGCAAAATTTTACTTATTTCGACAAAGAAGCGATGGAAATAGCTATGTTTCACTTGCATTTGTATTTCCTTCAAGGAATCTATTTTGTTTTACTTTATTGCCTTATTTGTTATCTCGCCAAGAAGAGCACAAGTTTAAAACACAGCATTTTTTTACGTACTGGAGCGCCTCAGTTCAAACTCCTTTCGCTTTCTTTTTTGTTTCTTCTGACTTTCCACATCAAGGTTAGCATTGGGTGGCCTGTTGGATCTGGTTTGAAAATAAAACAAAATGACAAAATTAGAAAGACAAGAGGAAAATAAAAAAATTGGGCGAAGTGTCTTGTGGCAGCGATTCAAGACATAAGCCGGTGTTGTGAGACCAGCTTGACCACGGTATTTAAGAAAGAAGTATTCATCTTGCTAAGCGACTGGTGCACCAATTCAGAATTAACTCTCTTTTGACAGCGACACTTTAAAAACTTTGGGTCGCTTGACGCAATTTACTCAATAATCCTCGCAATTATGTTTTTTTTCTTTTTTTGTTTTTTTTTGTTTTTTTTGTTATTAATCTGGCCATTACCTTTGATACAGAAGAAATGCTATGATGGCAATCACGATAAGTATCAGCGCTCCCAGAACACCAGCGACTACACCAACCATATTGTCACCTTCCTTAACGACTGGCGACTCCTCTGCAAAATTATGATATGTAGCAACACATCTGGATTATTACCTGAATGTTTTCATACTTAGCTAAGGGCTAGGATTGGAATGAGTCTAGAATTTGAGTGGTCATCCTCGTCCTTAAAAATACCTGTAAAGGCACCTAAATACAGAGCAGTGACCGTGAGGAAGACAATCCGAGGAAGTTGGTAAAAAAAGAGGTGCATATTTACTGTACACCTCTACATATCGCCATAAATAAGGAGACCAGTTAACCAAACAAAAAAGATATAGGAATGAAAGGCACCAACCAGTTTCCAGCTGACTGATAGCAGCTGGTTCTCCGTAAAGCCACTTCTGTAAAAAAAGGAAACATTCCACCACATATTGAGACACAGCCTGACTGAGACGAAACTAAACAAAACTGCGATAAGGTGCTGAAATCCACAATGGAAGCTTAAATACTTACCCCGTCACGTTCGGTGACTCCTCTTACATACACATTGTATCGCGTCCCTGGTTTAAGAGGGACATTCTTATAATCGCCGTATGTTTTTCCATTTCCAAGAACGAACTCAGCAGGGAGTTTTCGTTTTTCAAACATAGCCGCAATGTAGAAACGATCTCCATATGTTTGCGCTTCCTCATAGCCGTATATATTCTTCGGGAGCGCGGTTGTTTCCCGACGAGCTCTCGCTGTTCCAAGCATTTCTACTATGATCTCATGTCGACTAAAGGAGTAAAGGTTTCAAAAAGGTCAGTTTTAATCTAAAGAAGTAATACTAAACCTACAAGCTCGGTGTTTAAATAAAAGGAGAAACAAATCATGTTACCGTTAACTTGGTAGTGGCGCCAAAAGGCATCTTAGGAAAATAAAACGTTCGCGTAAGAAACGCTTAATATTTGTTCAATAAATTATGCGCCTTTGGTTGTGGAGGTAAATAATTCTAGAATTTCAATTCTTTAAAGCGAACTTTAGCCAATGTTTAACATATTCAACCCTCAATCTGCATATTCAAAGTCGGAGGAGTTTGGTTGTGCCAACATAGAAATGTATCTGATTCCCCCAAAGGGCTCTGTAAGTTCCTCACTCGTCGACGGTTATTTGGCAGTACATTTTCTATGGACTTCCCTTTAGCTCTATTAAAGACAACGGATCCCCCTCCCGTTTCCCCTGAAAACCCTGTGACGTCCCAAACACCTTCCAAACCACCACCTCCTCCCCAGCGTGTGGTGATGGCTGGTCCAAGAAAAAAAACAATTGCAAAAGCCACTACTACAAACAGACTCCCTAGAACTCACATAATCTCTCCGTTATGGTCACTGGATGGCGATAACGAAATCGTAATTGTTGTTGTCGTGACGTCAACTTCGACAACTTGGGGAGGTTTAGGCCGTGGTGGACCTGTAAACAAAAGAACAAAAGTATAACGCAAAAATTTAACGTAAAAATCATTAATTTTGCACATTTGTCCGTTTATCTGCCTTTCTATCCTGTTTATTTACATGTATCTGTTTGTGTTTCTATCTTTCTGTATATCTGTCCCACCATCCCTCTGTCTGTCTTTCTGTCCCACCCTCCCTCTTTCTGTCTATCTGTCCCACCCTACCTCTGTCTGTCTATCTGTCCCACCCTCCCTCTGTCTGTCTTTCTGTCCCACCGTCCCTCTGTCTGTCTCTCTGTCCCACCCTCCCTCTGTCTCTCTTTCTGTCCCAACCTCCCTCTGTCTGTCTATCTGCCCCACCCTCCCTCTGTCTGTCTATCTGTTCCACTGTCCCTCTGTCTGTCTATCTTTCCCACCGTCCCTCTGTCTCTCTATCTGTCCCACCATCCCTCTGTCTGTCTATCTGTCCCAACGTCCCTCTGTCTGTCTATCTGTCCCACCCTCCCTCTGTCTGTCTATCTGTCCCACCCTCCCTCTGTCTGTCTATCTGTCCAACCGTCCCTCTGTCTGTCTATCTTTCCCACCGTCCCTCTGTCTGTCTATGTCCCACTGTCCCTCTGTCTATCTGTCCCACCGTCCCTCTGTCTGTCTATCTGTCCCACCCTCCCTCTGTCTGTCTTTCTGTCCCACCCAACCTCTGTCTGTCTTTTTCTATCACCCTCCCTTTGTCTGTCTTTCTGTCCCACCCTCCCTCTATCTGTCTTTCTGTCCCACCGTCCCTCTGTCTGTCTATCTGTCCCACCGTTCCTCTCTCTGTCTATCTGTCCCACCCTCCCTCTGTCTGTCTATCTGTCCCACCCTTCCTCTGTCTGTTTATCTGTCTCACCCTCCCTCTCTCTGTCTTTCTGTCCACCGTCCCTCCGTCTGTCTACCTGCCCGTCCGTCTCCGCGCCTGCCTTTCTCATTCCTTACCCACTGCTCAAAGATTGAGTGAGTTGCTTGCTGACGCAATTGCCGTAATGCAATAGTTAACTGATCTAGAAGCTGAAATTAAGTTCCAACATGTTCACACAAATCAACAAAGAATGTTCGCATACGTTTTGATGGTGTTTTCCGCTCCACACGATCACTTTCGGCTCCATATCCTTTGACTGTTCTTGCTTTCACATAAATACTATATTCTGTACCAGGCTTCAACTTCTCTACTCCAATTTCAGTGCTCCGAGAGCTGTTTCTTAATACAATTTCGTGGTTATCTGTAAAGGAAGGGTCATATCCTCTTTTACCCGCGAAGTATACCTGAAAATCGAGGGAGATATAACATCTCAGAAAAAAACAAACAAAAAAAGAAACAAACAAAAAAAAAAAAGCAAACAAGTAGCATTTAGAGTGGCGTAAGCGCTTAGAGGATAAAAAATTGTTCTGAATCCCAAAAAAATGTACACACTTAAACCTCGGGGTTCCATTGGCTAGAAGTAGGCGGCGAGTCCTTAACTTTCTAATTGATTTTAAATGGGAAATCTTACACCTGTCATTACAGAAAAAATATAACACAAACCATAGATGCTACCCGATGACCGCATCTTAAATCTTTAAAGCGTGCTTATCAATGGATTGTTACAGCGTAACTCACCGTGTACATGGTGATAATTCCATTGTGGTCTTTTGGATCCTTCCATGAAACAGTAATAGAAGTTCCACCTTTGTCAAGTTTCGCAGAGACATCTTGAGGCTGACTTGGGACTGCAAAAAATCATATATTGCAAGGTAAAGAAGCAGAACGTTTGTAAATGGGTTAAATTGTTATCAATGTGAAAATACATAAAAAGGGTGCGCGTCCTTCTGCGTGAAGCATTCCCAGAACGGACGTACATGTCAAAGAGGGAGAATGAAAAAATCGTTAACTAGTGGCAATGCATGAAATACTAAAACAAATCGGTCAAACGTCTGTACATGTGCGAACTTTGAAATGACTAGATGAAGTGCTTTCACGTTGTCAGAACCAAGATTTCTCTCAAAACTGACAAAATGCTAGACAAGCC